CCAAATATTACTTACTGAACCAGTGAACTAAGCTCGTACTGATATTAGATCATTCTTTGTTAGAATGAGGTATTGATTGTACATTTTATTTCTTGGTTTGGAATTTGTTTATTAGGTTATGACGTCCCAAAAAGAAAATAATTGTCACATGTTACAAGGTTTCAATGCATTAACTTCTTCTCAACACTATGTTCCCAAAATTATTTTTCAAAATTTGTAATAAATATCAATCTCAACATGAGTTAATTAAAATTACTAAAATACAATTATTTAGAGAAAAAATTGATAAATATATTTGAGGAGTCTAGAATTATTACAGATTCTAATTTGAATGGTTTGTAACGCAGCGCCGCAATTGATGGAAGACTTCGGTGGCACGTCAACTAATTGGGGCAAAATTTTTGTTAGGCCTTGATCCAACCACCTTGATTAAATATTTAAATGAGACATCTCACTTACACAACTTTATAAATAATCAATTTTTTTGTGACGAAGAAAATTCACAATTATTACTTAAGACTTAAGAGTATACTATATAAATTTAGTTGTGATAAAGTTGATTGAGAGGGTGTTAGTAAAAATCAAACTTGTAATATTCAAGTACAAAAATCATGTTCCACCTAGTTAGCCACCCATTCCAGGACATCTTAATTTAATTATATTTTAATTGATTAATGAATACCTTATATATAGCCCGCATGGACATCTCAATTGGTCATATGGTGAAATTTGAAAAGAATGATGTTGGGCCAGGGTTGGGGAGTCAACGAGAGTGAATTGTGTTTATAAAGAACGGTTTATTTTGTTACAGAAGTATATGTTTAATTTATGTGACGACATAAGGTGATATGTGATGGAACCTTATTCTTTTTTCTTTCATTTTTTATAAATATATACGTTCCAGTTTCATCGGACTAATCTTAAGTCCACACACCTTTTCTCTAGAATTCATGCAAATGTAAATTGTAAGTATCGCAATCGACTCATCAGTCAGGCTCTAGTCTTTATGCGTGCATAAAAGATCCAATCAACACCTTCTATCATCCTGATCGAGCTTTTGTCTTACTGTCTTCAGTCGTGCCATCAAATTAGACGATGAACTACTACACTAAGATTCAGGGGCAATGGAACCCTATTCTTAATCCAATTGATGTATGCTAAATAAAGACAAGACAATTGTAGGAGGCTCGTTTAGGGCACATTAGAATTGAATCCTAATAATAAGATATTACAAGTGAATAACTAGTCCTTTGGTGTTGGTGTACTAAAATAAAATGTTAACATAATGTATTTAATTGTAACATTTAAAAGTTTAAAGATCTAATTTTTTTTTTTTTTTGTATAAAATTTATAGGCTTATTTGTCCACTTTCACTTAATTATATTTAATGCTCGTAATTATAATTGGATGGATATATATAAATACTTTGTGTGTGAGAACCGTCATGCATATGAGTTCATGAGAACCAATTAGGTGCATTAAAAATTAGATTTATGGATGAGATTAGTTGGGGGTTCAAAATTCGCGCGTGCATATGGGGCATGTGATTATGCATATCTTATGTTGCACACAACACATGCTTAATATGCACATGCAAATTTTGAATCCCCCAATCGCACACAACACATGCTTAATATGCACACGCGAATTTTGAAACTCCAATTGTGCACATCACATGTCCCATATGCACACGTGAATTTTGAACCCCCTCAATTATATTGATCTCATCCATAAATCTATTTATTTAATGTAACTAAATTGGTTTTCATGAACTCATTAGAGAGTGGTTCTCATAGGAACATCACCATATATATATTTCTATTCTTTTAATTTTGCCATATTACATCCATGACTTTCATTTGATTGCCACCATTATATTAGTATTTCAACGAAAGACTAATAGTGGCATTCAAATGAAAGTCATAAATGTAATATAACAAAATTAAAAGAATATTACTAAATATGACAGCACCACAATAGTCGATAACTAAAAATGAAATTTATTCAAAGTCAAGAATATAATATGACAAAATTAAAAAATTAGGACTAAATATGACAATACCATAATAATCAAAGGCTCAAAATGAAATTTGCTCTTTAGTTTATTCTCAATTCTTTCTCACAAACCAAACAATTGGTTAGGAATTTTTTTATTGTGTCAATAATAGTTAGATATAATTAAGTATACCATGTTTGGTTGTATCAGTTACTATGAATACCAATTTCAATACGACAATACGGTAAAAATTTATTTAAAATTATTCTTGCTAAGAATTGTGTGGGAGCCGCAGAGGGATTGTATACTTGTATAGTTGTATTTGTCCTAAAAATTTTAAGTAGCAGTACGGCCAGTACGTACCTTTGCGAAGTGCATATTGCATAGTCAAATTTATGGAGTGTTTGATAAATGGCTGTTGGCTGATTTGGATTAATAGGTACAACTAGTTCATAGCACTAGCTGTTTGTAAAAAATTATTTAGTAAATTAGTTGTTAGCTGTTAATTTATTGCAATTAAATGGCTTTTTAAAAAAGTTAATTGAATAAACTACGCTTTTTAAATTTTAGCATTTTGAAACAAAAAATTAATTAATCAAGCATTTATATTGATTATTTAATCAAGTCAAACAACTAATAATGATCAAATAAGTTAATATTTGTTGATAGACTAATTATTTTACCAAATAGGGCTTATATTTAAGATGACATATTATTATAGGTATGTAGTTAAAGTATAGAGTAAATGGACAATGGTAATTTAGAAACGTCGCACGCATATGCACGAACGGCATTATTATCGTATCACACCGCCGGTAGCCCACAAAGATTGAATTGTGCTCGCGACAACGATTGTTCGTTTCAACCCATGCCATCATGGCCTAGCTACAGAATACTGTCCGTACGTCAATCGAAACGTTGAAGCAAAATATCCGAATGGTAACTCAAGAACGGTAAACTTTGTATTTTTTTTTCTTTTCGTTCTACTCCAAACTAATTTTAAGCTATTTAATTCTAATTCCTCAAGACCCTTGCTCAAGAATCGATGGAAGAGATAAATCATAAATCGCTCAAGCAATAATTCAATCAGTTCATATCGTTTACTTTGCACACAAGATATCCATTTGATTCATACTTTTGTTAACTTGGAGAGTTCTGCTAATTCAAGAACGGTACAAAGTGGGTTGACGTATTATATTATTATTTTTTTTTTGAAAACATCTCTAATTCACGACTAGAGTCATATGTCTTCTTCAATTGCAACCCGCGCCTCCGCAGCAAAGCCTCCACAACCTGAGCCTCCACAGCAGTTGAATGACACATATAAATATATATGACTATATATAAAAAAAATTAACACTTAGAACTAAATAGACTAAAACGCACACATATTTAAAGCCATTTAAATAGGTTTGTTGATGGAGGACAAAAAATGATCATACCATAATAATACTATAATGATCTAAGGGCGCATTTTGATTTTCAGTTCAATTTTTATTTCCTGGGTTCGATTTTTTTCAGTTTTGAAAAAATGAAACCATTCAATTTCAATTTTAGTTCGGTTTTGGCTCAGATTTAGTTCGCTTCGTATTAGAATTCGATTTGAAGACTCAAACATTCCCGAGTTCTCTCGCGCATATAACCATTTATTTATTTTTACTAATAATTTATTAAATTTGTAAAAGCTAAACAACAAGTCCACAATGCATATTTTAAAGGGAAAATGACACTTTTTCCCCCTGAGTTATATACTTATAGCACTTTTCCCCCCTGAATTATTTAAGTGGCTCTTTTCCCCGCTAAAATGTTAAATGGACATATTCACCCTTAAAATAAATATTTAAAATAAGTATTTCATTTATTTTTCTTCTCCAACAAATTATTACTATAATTTGGTTCAAACCAAACAGATATTATAGCAACCAAACCAAAATATTCCAATTACAATTTAGAATCAAAACGCGATATTTAGAGTTTATTAAAATCACAAATCGAAATGGTCGGTTCATGTTCCGAACTGAAAAAATAAAATACATTTATTGTTGAATTTAGACTATTTTAAAATAAAAAATAAAATAAAATTTAAAATAAAGACGGTTCAAAATCACAAACCGGATCCGAAACCGCCGGTTCACGGTTCATGATCCAGTTTTTTTGGTTCATAAATTTAATAAATTGAAATCTAAATATTGGATTCTAGATCTGAATCATAACCGGAAACTTTTAATTCGATTGCTATAGTGTCCGGTTCAGTTCGAACCGAACCGTGGTCATTGCTACATATACACAATAATTTGTTGGAGAAGTAAAATAAATAAAATATTTACTTTAAGGGTAGAAATGTCAATTTAATATATCAGGGGGAAAAACCACCACTTTTAAAATAATTGAGGGGGCTAATGTGCTTACATAAATAATTGAGGGGGAAAAAGTGCTATAAGTATATAACTTAGGGGGAAAAAGTGCCATTTTCCATATTTTAAATTTCTTAAACTAAAATAAGTCCAAACCAAATCGACATCTTTACATGCTTCTGCCGTCCAATAGCAACATCATAGACTCACAGAAAAAATTTGAGAACAAAGAACACTTGTGAAAATTTAGGTTACGAAGTTGGAGATTTTATATATATATTTGTGTAAATTTATAAATATAAAAATTGTGGATATAATATATATATCATTTGATTTTTCGATTCGATTTGATTTTTAACTGAACAAAAATTGAATCGAACTGAACCAAAATCATCCCGTTTATAAAATATAGAACCAATCAATTTTTAATAATAAACTAAAATCTAATCCTTTGATTTGATTTTGATTTGATTCGGCTTGGTTCGGATAACCCAAACTAAAATGCTTACCACGGTAGAATCAATCAAATAGTGAATGTTTTTTAAAAATAATAAAAATGAAATGATCACTTTTATAAATCCAGACTAGAATAAAAAAATGAAATTAACTCATAAATTCGTAATATTACTGAATTAAACCCAAGAAATACTCCGTAGAAGATGAGGGAAGAGAGAGAGAGAGAAAGAGAGTTGTCTTCCTTACCTGCCTGTCAGTTGTTAGTATGCGTAACATGCTTTTGCCTCCTTCCCCTTCCTCTTTCCAAGCTCCCTCACATTTTTCTCATTCTCACAGATCCAATCTACAACCTCGCCGGAGACTCGGGCTTCCCGGTCCGTTCGGCGCACTAGCCGAGCCTCACAAATTCTTCTATTACTCATAATGCTGGAGTGATTACCGCCACTGATTGATACGAGATGAATCGGAGCTTTAGGGACTCTATGATCGGAGGCGGGAAGAGTTTTCCGGTGGCACCGCAGCTCCGGCGTGGCCTTAGCGTCAATGGAGCCTCCAACCAAGACCCCTCCGATGACTCCTTGGATCTCTTCTCCAGAACTCGCCGCAGCGTCTCCGTTGTCAACTCCGACGAGTCCGACGGTACCTTTCTTTGCTCTTGTATATATTTATCGCGTGTGTTACTGTGTACGGAGTATGTATTAGCTTCAGCTGATCGAACTACATCGTGATACCGTCTTCCTGGTTTCTGATTTACATCTACATGTCGTAACACTAAAACAGAGACGCAATGCTACCTAATAATGAGGCAAAACGGCGTCGCTGCATTCAGTGATGCAGCGACGAAGGGTTAATAATTGAAATTCCAGTTCAAATAATGAGACTTATTACTGCTGCATATTTAGAACATCAAGTATTTTGTAGTTTAGTTTTGATTTGTGATATCTCTTGGTTGCTTATTGAGAACAGTTTCCGTTAAACTGGGAAGACTTTCAGTTGGATCAGCAAAGGTGGGGAAGAATGGATTGGATGATCTGTTATCATCTACTGAGGGAGGAAAGAATGATTATGATTGGTAAGAGTTGAAGATCTCTTATTTTGCCAGCTTATCTTCATCTTTGAAAATCAGATCAACCTCCATAAATGCTATGCTAGTATGCTAATACTGAAACAAAAATCTATTTATATGTTGTTCCATCGGTGCTAATTCAATAGTGACAATGAAGGTTTTTGTTTTGGTTCTTCAATCATTCTAAATTATGATCCAGGCAAATTTTTACTTTGCCAAGTTTCTGAATCCTTTGCTGTGAAATAGCTAATGGTCCCCTAACCTAACCTTCAAATACGGGGAGTCTTGTTTAAGGACATGCCTTGTCCTGTTCATTTTTCAGTGTCATGCATCACCGTTGTTTGGCTTTCAATTGCCAGCATAGTAATTTTCTAAGTTCTATAATTGTGCAGAAAATTACATTAGTAGCTAAAATCAGTTTGCTTTTACCTGGTACTTGGTAAAATTGATCATAATAGCTGTATTTGTGGGTGTGTGTTGTATTTGATTTGGATAGTCTAGTTTTTGTTATTCTCGCTTTTAGGTGCTCCTTGAATGTTATACCAGTACAATATATAATTCTATCAAATGGATCAAGGTTCCAACCAGCAGCCGAATGTTGAAGCATTGGATGTTAAAGGGAAATGAATGTACTTAAAATAAATAAATAAATAAATAAAATGAAATGCATGTAACAGTTGTCCACTAAACAGCAGAGATCTCTTTATTGTTTGCCCTGTCATTTTTTTAAGCGAAATTCTTTATGTGAGACTATTATAGCTTCAGTAGTTATCTTTTTTGTATTTTGAATTGAATAACTAGACATTGTTGACCTATAACTCGTCTTTTTGATACCAATAGGCTTCTAACTCCTCCAGAGACTCCTCTAGTTCCTTCATTGATCGGAAATGAACCTCAACGGGTCCAAGTAGCTCCAAGAAGTAGCTCCTTGGCCAGATCAGTCTCCACAACTAAGGCTTCAAGGGTTGGTTTTCTGTTTATTCAAATACGGATTCAGTTATTTCAGCAAAAAAAATATATATGGATCATATTAAATGACTAAAATCACTAAATTTTGGATCCAATAAATTGACATCTTGTTTCGTAAAAATCATTTCATTTCAGCTTTCAGTTTCACATTCAGAGAGCAACCATAATGCAAGACCAGCACGCAGCAGTTCAGTAACTCGTTCCTCTGTCTCTAGCAACCAGTTTAGTACTTACTCAAATAAATCAACTAATATTCTAAACACGAGCTCTGCTTCTGTGTCATCCTATATTCGGTCCTCTACCCCTTCAAGTCGCTCTTCATCTTCAGCAAGAAATTCCACCCCCACTTCGCGCCCAACATTATCAAGGCCTTCAACCCCTTCCAAGGCCTGTCCAGCCCCAAACACAACTTCTAGACCATCTCAAAACTCAAGACCTTCTACTCCAAGTTCTAGGCCTCAAATTCCTGCAAATTTGAGTTCCCCCTCTCCTCGGTCTACATCGAGGGCTTCGACACCTACTCGAAGGAATACAGGACCTTCAATATGTCAATCTCCTGTAATATCTGCATCCTCTAGACGTACTGTCACCAGTGGGAGAACTGTGGCTTCGATATCTCGTCCAAGCTCACCTGATCCACCAGTTAGGCGAACACCTCAACCTATAGTTCCACCTGATTTTTCACTTGAAACACCATCAAATTTGAGAACAACACTGCCAAACAGACCACTGTCTGCTGGTAGGTCCAGGCCTGGTGCTGCTGTCTCTGTCAAGGCTAATATGGACACTCCAATTGCTGGAACTTTGCCTAGGCGGCAACCATCACCTGTTGTTAGCAGGGGAAGACTCACAGAATCCTCTGCTAGTGGGCGGGGGCTTTCAAACGGGCATGTGGCTGATACACTTGATTCTCGCAGAGCTTCATTTCCCTTGGAGTTGACTACAAGGAAATCTATAAAGACACCTACAGAAAACATGGGATTTGGGAGGAATATCTCAAAGAAATCTCTTGATATGGCTATCAAACACATGGTAAGAATAAACTTTTTTCCTCGTGCAATGTTGTTATGTTTCAAAGACATTGGTTTGTGTTTCTGTTCTCAGTCTATGGACCTAAACTGATCCTAATTAAGTGTTATGTTTCAGTGTCGTCACTCATTCATTTATATTTTCAAGTTTGTCTTAATCCTACTGATTCATTCACGAGTGTCATTGCTGCTTTTGTCAGTAGCTATCTTGCTTTACTTCTCTCAATGATTATACCCCATTTAATAAAAGATTCATAATAGCCATTTACCAGCTGCATGCTGTTGTCATATCTTCATAAAGCAACTAAATATTTTAGGAATGAGTTTCGAAAATTGACAAATTTTCTTCTTACTGGTGTACATAACCACTAGATGGATCTTTCTTTTGCAGGATATAAGAAATGGCCCTAATGGTGCTCGCCCACTTTCAGGCTCAATCCGTTACCCTCACAGCATTCGATCAAATGGTGTTAAAAGCCATAGTCACAGTGCAAGTTCCCCAGCATCTCTGAATGGGAATATGAACTTCAGCAACAATGGCCCTACATCTGAAAATGGAAGTTATCTTAGTAGGTCTTCTGAAAATGGGAGTGAAGACGACAGATCTCGATTCTCAGCAAGATTGACAGATACTGACATCTATGAGAGTTGTCGTTACGACATGATTCTACTCAAAGAGGATGTCAAGAACACTAACTGGCTGCACAGCATTGACGATAAGCTTGATAGTACCATTTTTGAGAACGGATTCGAACCTCTCCCTGAACCTTTCGACCATTTGTAACATAAGTTCATTGGTGCTCCATGCATTATTTTTTATATTTATTTATCTATTTTTCAAATTTTGATTTGCTGCCTGAACACATAAATGAAAATTAAATGTGTTAAGTTTGAAGCATATAGAATTATAGATATTGTGGAAGTGCTAACGTTGAACCTTTTTCCCTTTTTCTTTGTTTTTTTTTTTTTTTAATAACCTAGATTTCTCAGCTTTGTGGGGCATTGAGCGAATTTAGGTTTGAGATTTAACACCAGATTGTATATTTTTGCACAACGCAAGATTAAACCCCAATGTCCCTGACAATAACCGAACTACCACCCTGTTGAAATAAGTCTTAAGTTAGTTTTTACATCCACGACCGATGCTATGAGGTTTTTTCTCCCCAAAATGGCCATGTTTTCATTTCATAAAGTGTAATGAGATATGATTTCTAAATGTACATAGTTCCCCTTGAGATTTTAACAATACTAACAAACCGAGCAAGACCACATCTTTTTCTCTACTTTTACCAATCGTTATACCCTACACCACGGCGCGTGTAGCACTGTGCGCCGCGTGCCTCCCAAAACGACGTCGTTTTGGGGTTGTTTTGGGAGTCGTGGTAGGAAGTTGTTGTGATTATGTATATTTGTTCACACAATTATGTATATTTGTTCATACAATTATGTATATTTGTTCATACAGTTATGTACATTTTTTATACAATTATGTACATTCTTTTTATACAATTATGTACATCCGAATCAGAAAATTTGTGTGTATTATGTTAAGAGTTGATGTGTATTATGTTAAAAGTTTATGTTTATTATGTATTATGTTAGATTATGTGTATTATCTTTTAAAAAGAGTATGTATATTTTGTTATATAATTATGTACATTTTATGTGTATTCTAGTATAACATTATGTACATTTTTGAACATGGGTTTTTTTTTAAAGAAAAATTAACTGCCATACACTGGGGCGGGAAATTAAAAAAAAAAAAATTAAAACGACGTCATTTTGCATCTGGACGCACAGTGCAATGCGCGCCGTGGTGTAGGATATAAATTGCCTACTTTTACCATCCACTTTCTCCAGAAATGCAAGAAATTGACCAAACTCACCCGTCAATAATAATATTTCATATAAAGACAAACTTAATAACGAATTAGTAACTTTATTTTTTATTGTGCGTAGTAGCTAACATCACACTTTAAAACTATCATAACGATTGAACGCTAACTAGCGTATCTTTATCAAATAACCAAACATGAAACATGCATTAAATGGATGTGGTGAACGGAGATGCCAACTCAAGGGTAGGCTGGCAACAAATAATAATGGAATAAATAAGCAAAGCAAAGCAGTACGTGAGTGAGAACGTAACTAATATTAGGGTCGTACCAATACAAATTTAAGTGCAACATGTGGAAAAATGGACCACTGACAAACTAGCCCTTAATTGTGTGATACCATATGAATTGAAGGTGTTCATGGTGGTCGCATTATAAAACTAGAGCTTTAGTTATATGTTTTGACTCTATGTACGTAGGAATTTGCTATTAACTATATATAACTTAAGCTAGTTTATTTTATTACCGTCTTTTGGTAGCTATGATCATAAGACGTGTTTTACTCAAAGCACACATTCTGATAACGGTTAAGGGCTTGAAAATTAAAATATCTTTAGTTATATGCCTAAGTTTGCTAATTAAAAACGAGTAGGTGAAATAGTACAATAACTTCCAATTAACAAATTTTCATTTTGAAATGAAACGTGTATTATAAAATGTCCGCATATGTATTTGACCTTGTTGTCGATATTAGTGTACAAGCATTTGGGAGGTTATAAGTCGTTTGAGGTACATCCTCTGATTTATCTCCTTCATTAGACTTTAGGGCAAGAAGGGTGAGGCAAATTGTACTATAGACCATGGTCCATATTGCAATATGAATCACGAATAAATATCCATTTTTAATATACTGAAAGTTCATTTCTTTATAATAAATAATGAACATTTAGTAAATAAAAAATGAATCTTTAAAAAATAAACATTCAATATACTAAAATGAACATTATCTTTCTTTCTTTTTTTTTTGGGTGCACAGGAGGGGCCGGAAAGCCCCAAAGGACTAAAAAATTCTTCTAGTAGTCAGATTCATAGCGTCCCGCTCCTGGATATCCTTGGGTGGTTTAGAATGCACGTGCCCCACTGACTGACTTGACCCATGTTAGCAAGGTAGTCAACACACTGGTTGTCTTCCTGGAAGGTATGGTTGATCTTACAATCCTAAAACTGCCCCCTAAGCAATTTGCAATCAGTTATTAAAGTGTCCACTTCAGGTCTGGAAGTCGTGCCCTTACTCACGGCTTGGACCATTGTATGCGAGTCCGTTTTAGCGATCACCTTGTTGAAGCCCTAGTTTTTAACAATGACCATTATCTAATGTTACACAAGGTGAACTACAATCTAGAGTATAATGATTGGAATGATGAGGGACTTTAAATTCAAACTTATAAAATATTATTATTAAAAATTCATTATTATATAACGGACCATTATTAATGTGGAAAATTATTAAATTAAGCTAAATTCACTAGAAATTGTGAAGTAATGGATCAAAAGCTGGGCATGTGCTATTACTGGAATGCATGTGGATAATATATGACTACTTATATAGTAATGAGGATATATTTATTAGGAATAAGGTTCAAATTGGCCACTGAACGTAACATGAAAATGCAATTAGGCCACTGAACGAACAAAAAGTGCAATTAGGCCACTGAACACTTCAAAAACATGCAATTAGGCCACTGAACTCTCCAAACGTATGCAATTTCACCGGATAGCAGGTTACCATCAATTTTAGCAGGTTACCTGCTTACGTGGCAGCTGAGTTGGCATTTTTAATAATTTTTAAATAATTTTTAATAATTAATTTTAATAATAAATTTTATAAAAAATTGAAAAAAATTAAATAAAAAATAAAATAAAGTCGTTTTTATTTTTTTTAATTTTTTTAAATAAAAATTTATTATTAAAATTTATTAAAATAATTTAAAATTTATTAAAAATGCCAACTCAGCTGCCACGTAAGCAGATAACCTGCTAAAATTGAGGGTAACCTGCTATCAGGTGAAATTGCACATTTTTGGAGTGTTCAGTGGCCTAATTGCACTTTTTTTCGTTCAGTGGCCTAATTGCATTTTTAGGTTACGTTCAGTGGCCAATTTGAACCTTATTCCTATTTATTAAGTATCACACTTGTACGAGATGTCTCACAAATTCTTATTCATAAAGCGAGGTCGAGTCAATATGAAAATATAATATTTATATTGAAAAATATAATAATAATTATGAATAAAGTGTTTGTTACTTATAAAGAAAATTGTAATATTTTTATGACGATAATTTTATATTTTGATATAAAAATATTACATTTTTCATAAAAAATCAAAATGAGACAAGAGACTCATTTTATAATAGCTTATAGGAGTAAGTATTTGAAAAGCATTGAGCCAACTGATCTGATCAGAGGTCAAACATTATTATATTATTTGAAGTAATTTAATTAATAGCGCATGCAGAAATGAATTTGTTTGATTAGCCACAGTACACATCACCAATCCCATTACAGATTAGATTTATTCTAAAGATCAGATCAGATTCCCCTGCAAACTACCTCTCCATCAAGTCTCTCTTCGCACATAATTTTTTTAATGCAATTTAAAAAAAAAATAATTTACAAACTATTATACTGAAAGAGAGTTTAATTATTCAACAAAAATAATTACTCCTCTACCCGTGAAATCATATGTTATTATATCACTATCACACTTTCTTATTGCAATTAATCAAACATGTTAAGTTTCCAACTTTCCATACAATAACATTTGCATAATTGCATATATAAATATATTACACCCAATTTCTCCTTACTATTTTATTTACTTTAATAAATTAAAGTCAAACCAACATGAGTTTACAAACTAATAAAAACTCTATTGAGGTAGAATGTTTCGGCAACGTTCACTTTATTATCCAAAAATAACGTTATTAGTCATCCAATTATGAGAAAATAGTTAAAATTATTTACTTTTTTAATCAATTAAAATATATCATGTTAAATCATTAACCAAAAAAAATAAAAATGATACAGTATATAAAGTACCAAATTTAGGGTTCTAGAAGTTCCGGGCTCTGTTTCCTGACCCGACAAAAATGTAGTACGGATTTGTTTGGTTTAGGTGAGAGAGAAAAAGACAAACACATAACACAACCCAATTAAGTCCCAACAAACCCACCTGTCAATCCCATTTCTTTGGTCAACGCCTTAGTTTATTCCCCACAAGCTCACACCATTCTCCATAAAATATTCTCAACATTCATCTAAACTTTTTCGATTTACGAAAAAATCAACAATTATTATTTAAAAGTATGGTTTAGATAAAATATATCTTATGATTCTACTCGATAAAAAATTATAAACAAATAAATCAACTTAAATTATTTATAATTAATCGACAAAAAATTACAGTCATCTAAATTTATGCACCTTCTATTATGAATTGCATCGGGTATAGATGAGCTAACAAAACTTATGGAGATTTTAAGTGTGGCATTTTAACATGTATTACAAGATGATACTTTAATCTTTGTTAAATTGCACATTATGTTTGAAGTACAACTTTTATAGCACAAAGTACAATTGATTAATGGATGTAAATGCTTTGCATGGCATTTTAAAGTTTGTTTTAATTAATTTTTGTTTAAAATCTACGCAATATAAAACATTTTATGGACTAAATTTAAATACTTCCTCAAATATTTTTATAACAAAATCTCGATACTAAGGGTAAATCTAATCAAGTTGATCATGCTATTGACTTTGTAACTATAAAGTTACTAGTCTCAGTGGGATTGATCTATTTGCTTTGTTGATTTGAGTCGTTAATCATGGACAATCTCGAAAATCTATAATCCTTAGAGTATGTTTGGTTGGATGAAAAAAGTTTTCTACAGAAAATGGTCCTCCGTTTGGTTCATGAAAAATATTTTCCTTAGTTTTGAGGTAAACATTACCCTTATTACTTTTATTGTCATTATCATTATGTAGGTACATCTCAGTCTTTATACCCATTATTTTTTACCATTTCAATCCCAACCAAACAGCCAAATCAATATCTCCAGTCTTTTTTTTTTTTTTTTCACTAATCAAACAATAAAATTAATATTCCTAGTAATTTCTTTTCCATGAAATTTCAGTTCTATTTCCCCTCAAATATTTTCGTGAACCAAACGAGAAATAGACGAGATTTGTTTCATCCCGGGGGTGCTGAGTATAAAATGTACCTATTGAATATTTAAATGAAGTGTTGAGTATACGGTAAACATTAAAGTAATTGAAAATTAGGATAGATTAACATGGAAATTCTGGTGAACAACTCCCCTTAGCCATTGCTGATCATAATACTTCTTCTCTCCAACGTAGACTTTCTTCCCAATCATACACAGTTGATAATTCTCTCCAAATCTGTAAATGGGGCATTGAGATTCGCGTCACATTTACAGCTTTCGTTTGCTTCACGCAGAAGCTGGACCATTGGACCAGAGAAAACATTTTTTCTCTTCTCCATTCCAAAGTCCAAACCACCACCGGCTACCTCTCAGAGAGAAAGAGGAAAAAGGTTTCTTGTCCCGCTGAAGAATCTTTCTTTCTTTCTTTCTTACTTTCTTTGGTTTATCTTCTGATTCCAAAGGGAGAAAAGAAACCAAAATGCCGTTGGAATGGGAAGTGAAGTTAGGGAAGAAATGTAAAGCGCAAGACTCCGCCTTTTTTTCTCCCTCTACCCGTTTCACTATTAAGCTCCTCACTTTCTGTATTAAAGATCATATGTGCTAGCTGAGCTCACTCATTGCTTGCCCCTGCATTGTCCTTCTTGCATTCTTCCAAGGTGCCCTTTCTGAATTTATATGTTTCTGGTTCTAGAATTATGCTACTTATGTGAATGTGTTTGTTTGGTAGTTTTTTGTTGCAATTGCACTCAAGGTGTTTGTGATATGGTTTCTGAGCTGAAACTTGATTGTGTTTTGACTTTTGAATAGTCTGTGTTTGCTGCCAATGCTGAGTTGTACTAACATTTACAGAGCCACAGAGGCTGGAAATCTTGGATTCAAAGTGACCCAATTCAGAATTAGATGTGAACCATTTCAAGATTGTTTGACTTCGTTGCTTTCTTTCAAGTATCATGATCTTAAAAGGATGTTTCAAGAAAGTGTTATAGTCTTGTAGTTTAGCTGGGTGTAGGGGACTTAAACTGAAGAGGTTTCCAAATTTAAGAAATTAATGTTTTGATTACATCTTGATCAAATAATCACTGACAATACCATTTCTAAGTGTTTCAGCCGAAATTCCGGTGTTGAAATGATTTGGTTTTGTGAATGATAGTACTAACTCTTAGCTGTTCTTTCGATTGTCATTTATGTCGTGGTGAGAAGTGTCTGGGCCTAGACAGTGATGTGAGGTAATGACTCTCAACTACTTCTAATGAGAACAGGAAGACTAGCAGCCTCTATTTTAGCACAAGCAGTTCCTATATAACTCCTGATCTGTTACAGATTACAAAAATAAGGGAACTTGGAAGCTTCGGTTCCTTATAGGGGCATTTTGTTCAGTTGTTTCCCGGTTTCCTTCAATGTATTGTTCATACGTAGCAGCAGTCTTGTGTTTGTCTAATTGTCTTACACTTTCCAAAAAGTCCTCTAAGTGAATAAAGTGATCTGAGAAGAGAATTCAGTGAAATCTTCTATTTTCTTTTTCTTTTCTGTGTTTCTTAGGAACATTCTCGTCTGTTATGGTGTTGTATTGATTCAGATATTAATTTGTTCTAAGCATCACTTACTTTTCATTTTGTATATTTATTTTGACTATAGGTGTTACCACTGTTTCTAGGTGATGAGAGTGACAATGGTTAACAACTCAACATTAGTCTCCTATTGCTAGAAGAGTAAATACGAGGAATGTTGAAAGTGCTGTTCTGAATTGTCCCGAATTTGCTAAAGGATGAAGCTGTATACATCTTTTTCTACACTTCCGCTCGTTTTATGTGTGCTCCTCTTCCAAAAAGTTGTCTCGGACCTGAAGGCAGACAGACAAGCCCTTCTAGACTTTGCTTCTGCAACACCGCATGGCAGGAGGCTCAACTGGAGCATGAAGGCCTCGATCTGTACTTCTTGGGTTGGTGTCACTTGCAGTGAAGATGGAAGTCGTGTGGTTGAACTCCGGCTTCCTGGTGTTGGATTTAGCGGTCCTATACCAGAAAACACGATAGGAAGACTGGATGCGCTTACAACTCTCAGCCTGCGATCCAATCTTCTAAGCGGGAGTCTTCCATCGGATGTATTGTCTCTTCCTTCCCTGCAGAACATCTATCTCCAGCGTAATAACTTTTCTGGGGATATTCCTTCCACTCTTTCTCCAGAACTCGACTTCATTGATCTCTCCTTCAATTCCTTCACAGGCAATATTCCGGTAAAAGTTCAAAACTTGACACACCTTACTGGTTTGAACCTTGAAAATAACTCTCTTACAGGATCTATACCCGATCTCAACCTCCCGAATCTTAAGCAATTGAACTTGAGCAACAACCTTCTTAACGGCTCAATTCCACCATCACTTAAAAGGTTCCCTTCTTCATCATTTGGAGGAAATTCTTTGCTATGTGGGCCACCCTTGAATCGATGCCTCTCTACTGCACCTTCACCTTCTCCTTCTCCCTCGCCTTCTCCATCTCCTTCGCCTTCACCTTCACCTTCACCTTTACTATCTCCCTCTCCTACGCATTCCAATTCCAAGCCACCACCTCGTTCACCAGGTCAGCTGCCATTGTCACCAAAGGCTCCCGAAAACCCAAAAGCGAAGTCAAAGTTAAGTAGTGGATCTATCATTGCCATTGCTGCTGGAAGTACTGCAGCAATCATCTTTGGTTTCATTCTGGTGATGGCCCTATGTTGTATGAAGGGGTTTTATACTAAAAAAGGTGCTACTACGGGAAAGAACCTTAATGCAGAAAGAGCTGCCCCAAAGGAGGATTTTAGTAGCGGAACACAAGAAGCTGAAAAGAATAAACTGATTTTCTTCGACGGCTGTTCTCACAATTTTGATCTCGAAGATCTACTAAGAGCCTCAGCAGAAGTTCTTGGAAAAGGGAGTTATGGAACAACGTATAAGGCGATACTGGAGGAGGGTGTTACAGTAGTCGTGAAGCGGCTAAAGGAAGTAGTGGTTGGCAAAAGAGAATTCGAACAACAAATGCAGAGCATTGGCACATTAAGTCATCACCCTAACGTTGTTGCTCTTCGTGCTTATTACTACTCCAAGGATGAGAAACTCCTGGTTTATGATTTTGTCACTCGAGGCAGCTTGTCTGCTCTGATGCATGGTATCAAATCTCTAACTGGAGAAATCTGCCATTTTATGAAACACACTTTCTGTTTTCAACAACATTAACATTCATTGCCATGTTTCTATGTTGATGATCACAGGGAACAGGGAATCAAGAATGGCACTCGATTGGAATACAAGGTTAAAGATCGCAGGGGGAGCTGCAAGGGGCGTTGCCCACATACATTCTGTTCCCGGTGCAAGGCTAACTCACGGCAATATAAAATCTTCGAATGTCCTCCTCACTCAAGACCTCAACGGATGCATATCGGATTTTGGCCTCACGCCACTTATGGGCTTCACCACAATCCCACCAAGAAGCGCGGGATACCGAGCACCGGAGGTGATTGAAACAAGGAAATCCACCCAAAAATCAGACGTTTACAGCCTCGGGGTTCTCCTACTCGAACTGCTGACAGGAAAAGCGCCAGTGCAGTCAGCAGCGCAGGAAGAGGTGGTGGATTTGCCAAAATGGGTTCAGTCTGTTGTTAGAGAGGAATGGACTGCAGAGGTGTTTGATGCAGAACTGATCAACTATCATCAGAGTATGGAAGATGAGATGGTGCAGTTGCTTCAGGTTGCAATGGCCTGTGTCGGAAAGGTGCCGGAAATGAGGCCTAAGATGGATGAAGTTGTGAGGATGATTGAGGAAATCCGGCAGCCGGATTTCGACAACCGGCCATCATCTGAAGATAACAAGTCTAGGAGCCCAAGCAGCTCTGCTGTATGATGACCATAGCTTTTTATCATTTCAGATTTTCAGTCCATTTGTATGTCACCTTTTTAGGTTCATCTCAATTTTTAAAAATCCTTTGTCTTTAGCTTCTTCCTTTTTTTTTTAACCCCTTTTTTCATGTAATCTTAATATTTATATGAAATGAAAATGGTATGTTTGAACATTGCTTTGAAAATTATAATGCAACAGATCTTTACATTTTAATTTCATTAAATTAAACATATTACATTTATTTCTACTTGATTCGAAAGTTGCTATCCACATTCATATTATTTGATGGATAAAATTAATCCACGTTCATATTATTTGATGGAGAAAATTAATCCGGGGCAACCAAATGCTCCATAATTTAATCTGACATCAAACTATTTTCGAGTACCCTATAGAAAGCTCTCCAAACATGTTTCATTCACAAGATGACAATCTAAAACTTTATTTTAAAATATATCACATAATCAATAAACAAGTTATATTTATCAAAAACTTGTCTGAAGCGATGTTTGTCTAGTAAATATGGTACAGAAATTCCTGTTTAGTAAACTGAAGACTCCTCAAAATTGGGCTATGTATGGCCTCATGTTTTGGCTTTGCATTCTTTCGAGTACATCAATAAGTTACTATCGTTACAGACTAGAATGAATGGTTTGTATAGAGCTATACCTAACTGGTGAGAAGTGAGGACTTACCTGGTGGCTGTGGCTGAGTTTTTGTCAACCAAATCGGCACCGCTAACGTATCTAGCCATGAATGATATTAATCGGAATGGAGCGCCAATCAAAGGTGCATCCGAGAGAGGAACCACCTCGGCGGTGGTTTTCTGATCATCAGGAATGATTTCAGATTCTGTAGCCTCTTCAGCTTCAGTCTCGTCCAGAGGAATTTGCACTATCTCGCTTGTCTCAACCTCGGAAGAATCTAAACCCATACTGTCATCTTTAGCATTCGCCTTGTCATGACTGTTCATTTTGGCTTTGTCGTTCACATCTTCTGTGGATTGAATCATGCTTTTGGATACAAGCGCTGGATTGTCAGCACTAGTGATTTCACGACCATTGGCCATTTCAGACATCGGCTCTAACCCAAGAGCTGAACTATTGGTAATGTAAGTAGTATTGGTATTATAAGTAGATTCAGCATTTCCAGTCATAGGAAATGAAGACACTTCCATCATTGAATCCCTCCGCTGAAGCTCAATGTATAATTCATTCACCTGGGAAAATAACGAGAAACACTTGTCATTATTTTTATTAATAATCTAGACTTCGAAACAAAGCAGAAAAACTCTCTAAGAGGACTACAGTTTCACCGCAGCAGGTTGATGTGCTTTACCTTCTCAACAAGCTCTGAGTTCTCAGCGAGAAGTTTTTGGACCACTGCATGAGCAGCCTCAGAATTCACATCTCCATTTTCAGAAGTATGCTACATGTAGAAGAAAGTAAAATATTAATGTAACAAGTAAAATACTGTTTAAAATGCCAAAGGGAAATAAATTCGACAAGATAGGCTTTTTAGGTTCCCAGGTTTCCATAAGGCATAACGAGGACAAGATTGCAAGCTCTAAAGAAGGAAGAAGCGAAACACATGCAACCTTACTAGTTACTACAGAGTACAAATACATAAAAATAGCCCTAACATGTCGACAATCTAAGGGCACGCTAGCTACCACCACTCCACGCTCCAAAATAAAAAGGCAGTAAAAAGGAACAGAACAAAATGCCGGCTGATGGAGTCTGGAGAAGGGGCACGCACAGGTTCTCAGTAAAGATAGAACCCAATGCGTAAGGCTCTAGTGTCGTGCATGCATCATGCGGAGTCCAAAATATAAGATGTAAGCAACTTACCATTTTCCCCCCAGTTGATGAACTGGTAGCGCTCTTCTCAAGGCCCTGTACTTGCGACTGCAAAGTATTTACAGTTACTTTCAGCAGCTGATTTTCTAGTGCAGTACTGTTCCGCAACTCTACAAGCTCCTTCACCTGACATAGTTTGTTTTTAATTCCATATAAAAATAAATAAAAACAACTACTATCATGTTTCGGCCTCAGTTGTTTATATTTAGCAGCAGTAAACATAATGAACAAAACTTATGATTCATTTAGTTAGGTAAAAAACAAAACTATACCATCTGGCTAAGAGGAAAGCTTAGAACAAAAAGATGTTTGTGTCATAAGGATCATTTAGATGTTATACCTCTGTTTGTAAGAATGCATTACGGGTGTTCAGGCTTGAAATTCTTGTTTCCATCAAGTTCTGTAACATCAGGAAAAACTTTGGTCACAGTTACCTTCTGGTACAACTATCATCAAGACATCAAAAGATCCATCCCGGTAACCTACTTGAAGAAGAAACCAAATGCATCAAGAAAAATTAGTGTTTACCTCCTTCTGGATCCAGGCATCTCTTTCCTCCTCCATCTGTTTTATTTTTTCCTCCAATCTCACCTGATTTCATGATAGGGTCAGCTTATTGAAAAAAAGATCATATTATCAGGGAGTGAAAGGAAAAAGATACATTCTTAAAAATGTAACTATTTCTGCTTTTATTCCTATTCTATAGTGGTATTTTACTTTTAGTATCCAACTATCAATTTGGAAGAAAATGGTCCCCCCACCCGTTGAAAAGTGGCCAAAAGGATCCTCATGACAGAACCAAAATGGAAGGGCCATTTTTCTTCAACTTTCTAATAGTTGGAGGACTACTGTTGAACTCAAAATTGGATGGCAATTGCTCCCTAGGATTCAAAAGTGGACAAGAATGGTTCTCCCAACAATTGAAATTGGAAAAAAATAGTCATTCCATTAACATCTCAACAGAGGATAATTTCTGTCCAGTTTCAAATAGTTGGTGGACCAATCTTGTCTAAACTAATAGTTTGGAACTAAAAGTAAACTATCACCATAGTTCTGGACTAAAGCCATAACTAGTTCAAAAATTAAATAGATATTTCATAAAAGTTCAGGAAAAAAAATTCCCGGTTATCTAATTATTTTTTTGGGTATACCCAGGGTTTCCACCGTCGCACACAGTGACTAATCCCTCGCTGAGTTGTAGGCACCTCTTTTGGGTGGGACAGCTGGCCTGGAGATTTAAGGCTGCTCCATTCCCAAAGCCAAGGATCGAAACCCTTGACCTTTGGTTAAGGATGGATGAGTCCCTTCCACTCAACCACACCCTCCAAGTTCCGGTTATCTAATTATAAAACTGAAGCAAACCACATCTATGTATTCTCATTCAATTACCCTTTTCAGATTCAGGGTTGCTGCTTCATCAACCAACAGACTAATTCTTTCCTCATAACCAGCCTGCAAGGAAGAGCATATATTTAAAATAAAAATAACAAGGCAGAGTCTTTTTTTTTTGTTATTTACTTTTTGGGTGAAAGGTCAAGAAAATTCCTTGCAGGCTGTGCAACCTATTAAAGGCACAAAGGAGGTGCAACCTATGCAGAGTCATCAGGTAGAGGACTACCTCCCAATCTACTAATAATACAACTAATTAAAAATTCCCACACAAACCTAGGAGCAATGTACATCATAAAAGTTATCTAACACCTAGCTATTCTATACTTGTTCTTATAGGGCACTTGCAATTCCAATCTCTTCAGTTCTCTTCACTGTTTTGACCTTGACCTTTTTCCGATTCCAGCATTCTCCTTCCTAGCCCCACCCTAGCCCATTTGGCCATCTATATTGCTGTTACCCTGACCCACAAACTATGCCCAAAAATACTGAAATTTTCAAACTCTTCCAAACCTTTATTTGGGTCCCATCTAGGTGTTAAATTTGTAACAAACAATCAAAGATGGTTTACAGATAGTGGATGATTCAGTTTGGCTGTCCCCACTTCTGAGTTGCTACCCCAAATTGTCCTAAACTGCTCAATACCCAGAATATAACCATCTTCTCCTTTAGAGATATCTCCACATTTCATCAAGCATACTGTCTCCTCCTTTGAATCTGATTGTGTAGAAACAAACCTTTCAAGCACATTTCAGATTGACTAGCTCCCTACTTGTGGACAAACTCAAATAACAGTTTAGAGTCTGATCTAGCTTGCAGAGCCATGGGAAAGGGTGTAGCATATTACCTTTGTAAAACCTTGAAGGCATTCTTAATTTATCAGTGATTGCAGCCAAATTCCCATTTACTTCATCCTTTCTGATTCTACTGATAGGGATGGGATGAAGCTGAATAAGGTAATTTATTAATGCTTTTGGGTTATTAACACTACAGTTGGCCTGCCTTTCATTTAAGAGAGCAGTGTAAGGCTGCTCACCAAATCCAGATAAGTTCCAAGAAATTGGGCCTAGCCATGGCTCTTTAATTTATCTCAACCAGAAGAATGAAGGGCAGAACCGCAATTTCCACCCATCCTGTCTAAAGGAGATCTTCCCCAAACCTGTTCCATCACACCTTGTCTCTTCTGAATCTATTTATAACTTTAACCTCTCATAGCCACTCATGTCTCTTTTTCTGTCCATTACAGAATCTTAATACTTCTAGTCAACCCCTCCTCTTTGGACTCTGTCACACAGGAATTGCCCTGAACCTGGTTATAGTGGTGCCTTCCATTTTTTTTCATACAACAACTTACTAACCCAGTCAATTTCACCCTTTGCGCCTCCAAGTCAATGACCATTACAAAACATGTCCACCTTTTCCACTGGCTGGAAAACATTTTGATTGAGATACTCCAAAGCTGATAACTCAACAATTTCATTTCTATCTGGAAGGAATAGCACACTTGACACTTCCCATGATCAATGAAAGTATGATAACCTATTGTTGAAGCTTTTTGGACCCATAAGAAGTAACTAGATGAAGGGATCGGGGTAAAGAGAAAATAAACCCCCAAAAATTATTGAAAGTCTATAGAGAACTCTTAATGCATAAATGATTAGTTCTAGACATAATTGGCCAACTGAAAAGGAAAGGCTAAGTGGATCTAAAATGTGCAAAGTTGAAAGTTCTCAAAAAAGAATGCCCAATAATGGTACAAAACAAGGTATCAATTTAATTCTGAAAAACTTCAGTATTTTACTGTAATGAAAGAACCATCACCTCTTTTTGAAGCCAGAAGTCCCTTCCATTCTGTAATTGTGAAATTTCAACCTCAAGAACAGTCTGGAGACCCAAAAAAAAAGTATGGAGTTTCAATTACAAGAAAGGAATTATAAACATCCCTATGAAATAAACCATCTCTAACCAAGTAAATTTGCAGATTATAAATGAAAAAAAAAAGAGGCAAAAAAAGAAAGTATTTCAACTGCAGAAGCCATTTAGATTGGGATTTTATATTACCATTTGCTGCAACAGAATGTCCTTTTCCTTCTGTAATTGTAAATTTTTCTCTTCAAGACTAGCCTGTACATCCCAACATCAAGACAGAAGTAAATAGATAATATTCTCAACATGTACAATATCTGAACCAACAATATGTAGTATTTACATTACCCCTTTGTGGATGTGCATGAACTTTTCATTTTCTAGTTGTCTAATTCTCTCTTCAACTTTAGACTGCAAAATGAAGAGGCCACTACATGATTATAAATAAGTAAAATGATAATATTAGAAAGGAAATTCATCAACGGAAAATACACAAGCAGGTTAATTAGTTGTATACTACAATAATTATCATTCTTACCTCTTTCTGTAAGGTTTCATTCTTTTCACTAAGCAATTGTTTAATATTCTCTTCTAGAATAGCCTGTGAAGGGACAAAAATCACTAACGGCATCAATTTGAAACACATAACATAAGTAAACACCAGTACTACATATTAAATTATGGAGTAATAAAATACTCAAAGACAACTGACTAAAAACTCTTAAATTTTTAGAATGTAATATAAGAACTCACATCACATATTTACCTCTTTCTGTACATGCACATTCTTCTCATTCTCTAGTTGCTTAATCTTCTCTTCATAAATAGCCTGCAGATACAAAACGTTACAAATTGCTTCACAAAATTATGGAATATCTAAAAAGGAACTATAGAATCATTATATAGATAACAAAGAAACAGTTAAGAGGAAGAAGGCATTATCTTTACCTCTCTGCCCATCCAGTACTGTTTATCACCTTCAGCTAAAGTTGGCTGTAAAAGCAAGAGCATAAGAAATTATTAAACAGCAACTAGTGCAATGTGCCATTAACTCATAAAGTAGAAGGAAAAAAATCCAACTTGAATTAATTCCACGAATTCAAATCCTAAACCTACATGATTGGTCGAGAGATGTCTATTTGGATCCCTGTCTATTTTTGCTGCATCATTATTCTGCATCTCTCCAGTGTCTGTAGTATCCTCTTGCGATTCAGAAACATGGTTCTGATCATGAGGAGCCACTTGTCCAGCACCACTCGAGGCATTCTCTGTGGTTCTATTCTGCTTATTCTTCTTTTTCTTATTTTTCCTCTTCTTCTTCTCTTCTTCCATTATAGGACACTAGGACTTCAAAATGAGGACTTGGCAAGCTCTACAATAACGAGGACAACCTGCTAAGGACTTAGAGTCATCAAAATGCTTCAAATGAGCCCCAAAAACTTCTAATTCAACACTTCAATCGTAAGCCATTATGCTAATTGGAAACAAATACGACAAGTGCAAATTAATCCAAATAGCTTCCCAAATTTCATAATCCTGCAAAATATTATGAATAAACTATAGAAATTAGACCTAATTCAAGTCTCGAATCCTCCGTTTTTAAATCAAGCTCTTATTATTTTAAACCAGATATCTTATACCAAACACGCATTGAACAACACCATTTCTCAATAACACATACCGGCATTGCTAAAATTACCCCCAAAATAAAGGAAAATGCACAAATCGCATAATTGAAGCTCGAATAATCAAATTCGGCGTAAAAGTACCGAAATCGTTAGGATTGATCCGGAATCCGGATAAGCTGATGTGCCTATAAATCCACAGATAAAGGATCCGGGAAGTGTACGAAGGAGCGAGGTCGTACGACGTCGTTGTAATCCAGGGGAGGAGAGACGGCTCTTTGGTGAAGAAGATTGTAGCTTTGAAGTTCAGAGGGGGAGGGGGAGATGCTCAGATGCGGTTCGATCGAGTGTAACGGCATTCAATTGAGGGTGGCGCTTTCTTAAATACTTGTCTAATTTGAGGATATTTCCGGAATTTCCTTTCGGTAAAATGTTTAGATCCTTACTGTCCGATGTCACGCGATCTTATGATAATGAAAAAAATACAAACACATGTTTGAACAATTTTAGCTAACATTACAATTTCTTTATTATTTTCTTTACATTCTTCCCTGTAATACTCTTTCACTTTCAAATATAATCTCACATTCATATCACGTTACAATAAAATATTTATAAAAAAATACAGAAAAGATTCTGCATTTTGTCATGCGATTTTTTTTTTTTTTTTTTTTTTGTAATGTGCAAGATTGCAATACATATAAGCAATAACAACTTTTTTTAAAAAACTCTTATTTTCGACTTGTATAGTCACAATTGAACCGGGAGTTACGAATACGTATATTTGCAGACAAGTAGAGATGGTGCTCGTAGGTCAGTCGATCGGCCGGTCTACCAGAGGTCAATCTATCGGGTGACGACTGAGCGATCCAAGGCTTAGTAGTATTACAAGTAGTAGGTTGCAATGTACTAGCAGGTGGTGTTACACGAGGTGTAGGCTACAGTATAGTAAGTAGTAGTTGTAATAAGATGAAGATATGAAGTGAGGGGCATACCCTCCTATTTATACTTAACTAAATCGGTCTACGCATTTAATGCGCCTGCTACAAGTAACTCGACGTGGCGTCTTCTCGTTGGCTTAGTCAGGCAGTTGCTCTGCAGCTATGCGTAGTTGACTAATCGAGGAGGCTGAGCCGTTTACTTTTGCAAGTTGTCAGTCGTCGCTCTGCAGGCTCAAGTTCGCCCTTATAACTTGTCGTGTAAGTTACATTTTGGCTCGACAGGCTACGTTACGTTGTAGGTAGACCGACTGCTTTCCGTCGGGGCGATTCCAAGGATGATCCGAGAGCATATTCTTTTGTCATGAGGTCTATCGGTACGAACAGTACGATTGACCATCAGTGATAACCGTAACGAACCGGCTATACGAATCAGTCTTCTATACGTATTTACTCATCATAAGCAATAACAATTTTTAAAAAAAATTCTCATTTTCCACTTGTATAGTCACATTATCTCTCAAAGCCACATACTTTCACTAATGAGGTTAGCCTAAAGCTATCTGCACCTTTGCAATCTTCTTTCACTTTTAAAATGTTCTATCTCTAAATTTGTAATTACACTCATCAATTTTGCTTAAAGGTCAATTAAACTCATTATGCTGGAGAAAGCGACCTTGGTCTCTTTCTCTGTGACCGACGATCGTTCGTCGATCGTCGATCACTTTGCTGCCTAAAATTTTATCAGTATTTTGTCGGAATTCTAATGACATGTGATAACAAATTACTAATAGGTTTGTGGGCTTCATTACATCAAAATAAATTATTTAATGAATGTAATTGCACATTTACTAAATTTAAGAAGTTAATTGATATTTCACTTAAAGTTTGACCACTTTTACCATTTTCTCTAACTTAATTTTACTTAGGTTTCTATTTTTTTTTTTTTGAATACTATTGACTCCCTATTACAATGTAGTACTTAGGTTTCTATAATTCACACAACATACAACAAATTGTATAAATCTTAAGTTTCAAGCCCTGAGCATTAGGGCTGTGCATAACCCGTCCAACCCGCCCAACCCGAACCCGTCATACTGGAATGGATCGGGAACCGAACCCGAATAGCCAAAACCGATCCGAGGCCGAAAATGACGCCGCATTAGTTGGGGCGGGGAGGGGGTTATATTTTCCACCCGAACCCGTCCGATAACCCGAACATTTCTAAGCCTACGTATAACCCTATGTAATACGACGTCGTGTAGCCTAAGTATAAATAGAAGAAGAAGCGGAGAAATCGCAAACCCTAGTCTCATTTGCGCAGCTCTTCATTCCCTTCTTCCAGAGAACTCTCTCAGTTCTCTCTTCTCTCTAGTCTCTACCCTAGTTCTCTCAAAGTCTCTTCTCTCAGACAGTCTCTTTGAGTCTCTGAAACGCTGAGAGCCTGAGAGTGTGAGTGTCTGTAGTGTGGAAGCTATTATTCTCCGGTGGAAGCTCTCAAGAGTCAAGCCCCATTCGTTTCCGGTAGCCCTCAAGCCCCAAGCGAGTCTCCGGTGGGAGCGATACTCCGGTGGATTGCAGTTCGCTGGCTAGGAATCGAAGCCCTTTGTTCTCGGGGGTTTATTTTAGAGAAACGAAGTAATCTCTATTCTCTAAACCCTAGTTTTTAAGATTGTTAGTTTGATTGTTTGATTAGGGTTATTCTGATTGTGATTTTTTGATTTGTATGGACTGTGAGGACTGTGATCTGTTGAGAAGTTCCAGATTACTTACTCACTTGTCTCTAATTTAAGATTGATACTTTGATTGTTTGATTAGGGTTATTCTGATTGTGATTCTGTGATTTGTATGGACTGTGAGGACTGTGATCTGTTGAGAAGTTCCAGATTACTTACTCACTTGTCTCTAATTTAAGATTGATACTTTGATTGTTTGATTAGGGTTATTCTGATTGTGATTCTGTGATTTGTATGGACTGTGAGGACTGTGATCTGTTGAGAAGTTCCAGATTACTTACTCACTTGTCTCTAATTTAAGATTGATACTTTGATTGTTTGATTAGGGTTATTCTGATTGTGATTCTGTGATTTGTATGGACTGTGAGGACTGTGATCTGTTGAGAAGTTCCAGATTACTTACTCACTTGTCTCTAATTTAAGATTGATACTTTGATTGTTTGATTATGGTTATTCTGATTGTGATTCTGTGATTTGTATGGACTGTGAGGACTGTGATCTGTTGAGAAGTTCCAGATTACTTACTCACTTGTCTCTAATTTAAGATTGATACTTTGATTGTTTGATTAGGGTTATTCTGATTGTGATTCTGTGATTTGTATGGACTGTGAGGACTGTGATCTGTTGAGAAGTTCCAGATTACTTACTCACTTGTCTCTAATTTAAGATTGTTGGTGGAAGCTTAATCTGTATGTGTGTAACTCACTAACTGAGTTAAAGGCTTAAAGGGGTAATTGTCCCTAATCTGGTGGAAGCCCTAGCCCCTTTGTGTGAAATCCATATATATGATGAGCATTATGAAGTGGCATACATCCACTTAGCTTGAATGCCTGAATATGGATTTCTTTGTAAATTGTAAATTGTATTAAGTTTATGGATATGGGACCCTTAAATTGTTTATGTGCAATTCTGCATACATGATGACATGTGAAATTAACTGAAAGTAAATAAGTAATATGTAAATATGTAATACTTCTATGTATGAGTACTGTATGGTGGAAGCTTTAGTATGATTGGTTGTCTGCTTTATTTGGATACTGATGCCCATCTTTATAGATGGAAAGCATCAGTGCAACTGGACACCCTCCAACCTCAACTGATGAGGAGCATGGAGTAGAAGCTCAAGGTACTGAGAGAAATCCTCAGACAAATCCTATGCCTTCTCCTCCTGTTGTTCCTACAAAGAAGAGGAAAGAGGTGGAGTCTAGATCTATAGTATGGGATCATTTTGAAAAGATCCGTGCTCCACCTGCTGAAGGTGAAACTGAGGGACCAGTAGTTGAGGGCAAATGTCTTTATTGTGCCAAAATCTATAAATGTGAAAGTAAAAAGCATGGCACTTCCTCTTTGAAAAACCATATGAAGGCCTGCCTAAAAAATCCTCATTGTAAGGACACAAGGCAGTCTCTTCTCACCTTTAATGCCTCTGGAACAGAAGCTTGTGAGGGGGTTTTGGGGACTTGGGTTTTCAACCAAGAGGCTATTAGGAGGGCATTGTGTGAGATGATCATTGTTGATGAACTTCCCTTTAGGATTGTTGAGGGAAATGGCTTTAGGAAATTCATTTTAGTTGCTTGTCCTAGGTTTCAAATACCTTCTAGGTAGACCATTTCTAGAGACATTTATCAGATTTACCTAGATGAGAGACTAACCCTAAAGAAGTTGTTTAAGGTGAGCACCCAAAGGGTCAGCTTGACCACTGATACATGGACCTCTGTCCAAAGGATCAATTACATGTGCATTACTGCACATTTCATTGATGATCAGTGGAAGCTAAACAAAAAGATCATTTCCTTTGTCCCAATTTCTTCTCATAAGGGAGAGTATATAGCCAAAGCCCTTGAGAGTTGTCTTCTTGATTGGGGGATTAGAAATGTGTTCACTGTTACTGTTGATAATGCCTCTTCAAATGACACAGCTTTGGGGTTTTTCAAGAACAAACTTCTGTCTTGGGTGGGTCTTCTGTTAGGGTTCAATATATGCACATGAGGTGCATAGCCCATGTGTTGAACTTAGTGGTCCAGGATGGGTTGAGATATGCAGGTCCTTCTGTTAAGAAAGTTAGAGATGTTGTGAGATGGGTGAGGAGTTCTCCTGTCAGACTTAAGAAGTTTAGAGAGATTGTTGTGCTTAATGGGGTGGAAGCCAAATGTGCATTACAACTTGATGTTCCAACAAGATGGAATAGCACATACATGATGCTTAACACTGCCCTTCAATACCAGAGGGCCTTTGAAGCTTATGAGAATGATGCCTCATTGAATGCTGACTTACCTGATTCTATTCCAAACTTTATGGATTGGCTTTCTGTGCAAAGCTTAGTCCATTTCTTGAAAGGCTTCTATGAGATGACTGTGAGAATATCTGGTTCTCTATATGTCACTTCAAATACTTTCTTTTCTGAGATTTCTGACTTAGGTTGCATGCTGGATGACATGGTTAACTCTGTTTCAACCTCTGAAAAGGTAAACTGTAAACTGGTATCATTTATCTGAATGTGTTTGTATGCATCTCTTAATTTTTTCTGTGTTATGTCTGTTTTATAGGATATGGGGTCCCATATGAAACAAAAATTTGAAAAATATTGGGGAGATCCTGAAAAAATGAACTTCTTGATATTCTATGCCAATATTCTGGATCCTAGGGATAAGATTGAGTACATGCCTGCCCAATTTGCTCAGTTGTATGGTGATGAAAAAGGAAAATCATGCTTTGAAAAGGTTCAATCTTCTATGGTTGTCCTGTTTAATGATTATACAGCCACCTACAGTGTGCAGTCTGCATCCCCTACTGTGCAATCTACCCAATCTGAACCAGTCCATTCTCAAACTTCAGTTGGAAAACCTCAGGGTAGAATGAAAAGCCAGCTTAAAAAACAGAGAATGGAGGCTGGTGGAAGCAGTAAACAAACTGAACTCCAGATTTATCTAAGTGAAAAAATAGTGGAAGATGAAGAAAATGTGGACTTTGATGTTCTAAGATGGTGGAAGGTTAACAATGATAGATTTCCTATACTCTCTAGAATGGCAAGGGATGTGCTGGCTGTTCCCATTTCAACTGTTGTCTCTGAGAGTGCATTCAGTACTAGTGGTAGGGTATTAGATCCCTTTAGGAGTTCATTAACTCCTAAAATTGTTGAATCCCTAGTATGTGCACAAGATTGGTTGAGGGCACCCAATCATCCAATCTCTGTGGAGGAAAACTTGGATGATGTTGAAAGATTAGAGAAGGGTACTGTTTTTATTTTATATCTTTTGTAGGTTTCTACTTTATAAATTGTTAATTGTTACTTACCTTTTCTAAACTCTTTTTTGTTTTTCCTTTTTGTGCAGAATTGTCCACTGGAGCTGCTGGTTCTTTACCAAGTACTGTTGGAACACTCCCAACAATTGCTGTAATACTTTTATATAACATTGCTTTCTGACTTTCTGTTTAGTTTGATTGATAAATGTGTGGACTCTTTGAGGCAAATCAGGTAAGATTCCAGAACTGCTAATTGCTAAGTGGCTTGGTAACTTTTTTATAAATGTTGCTGCCCTTACTCAGTTACATCTCTGGTATTCTGGAATTCTGGTATATCACTTCCCTTCCTCTCATATTCTCATTTCTGTTTAGTTATGGACTTATGGCTATGATGATGCTTCCACCATTTGTCTGAATTAAAAAGAGTTTGGATGTTTGGTATGTTGTTCTGAGACAAAACTCATGAAGCAATTTGCCCCCAACTCTAAAATGATATGAAAAAAAGCAATCTGAGCCTTTCTTATTAAGTATTATTAGTTCCCTACTTCTCTTTGTCTTTATTGGCTTTAAAGTTTAAAGTCTTTACTGGTTTTGTAATTGAGCAGGAAGATGAGGAATGGATGAATGCTGATTGCTGAAGGCTGATTGGTGACTGCTGACTTGCTGACTTGCTGAGTTGCTGACTGCTGACTTGTTGAGTACTTTAGTAGTTAGTAGTTAGTAGTTTAGTGTTGTTTGAGTATTGTAGACAAAACTCATTTTGTGGACTTCATTTTTGCTTTTTGAATTTTGAACACAAGTTGGAAACTGCAATATGTAATTATGTATCTAAAATCTAAATGCCTACATAGCTGATAGCTTTGGTAATTTAGATTATGGTTATTAAGTTTGAACATTGTTACAGTTTTTTTTTTTTTGGTATGTTTTATATTAATCCGAGTTCAAACCGAAATCCGACCCCACCCGACCGTATCCGAACATGAGAAATCCGATTTCCCTCTTAATTCGAACGAATTGGAGTAGTTTTTCCCAATCCGAAATCCGAGCGGATGAACGGTTTTCTAAACCGATCCGCCCGAACCCGTCCGATGCACAGCCCTACTGAGCATGACTTCGTTTTCGCATATTCAAATGTAAAACACAAATGTCATCTTTTTAATCCTTTTAACAATAATAATAATAATAATACTTTCGCTTCCCTCCATTTTCTGTATATTTGATTTGATGCCTTCATTCGGTGAAATTTTCAATTGTTGGATCCGGGGTTTTGCTCGTTTGATCTGACAATTGAATTCTTTCAATTATTTCCAATAAATAAACGATACGTTATTTTGCAAATTCCTTAGTTCATTTACTGTTTCCTGAAAATCTGAAATTTCAAATGATTTTCTGTTGGATTCGTGAATGGAATTATAATCTCCTCTCGTTTTCCTTGATCTTCTTTCCAGATTTTAATAAGTGGGTGTTGAATTGGTGCTAGTTTTTTAATAGTGGTGTCTGCACAGAGGACAGAGGAACCCGAGCTTCGTGGTAAATGACAATGGGGAATTTCATCCCCAAGGTGTGCATTCCCAAGGTTTGTCTAATTATCACATTTATCATATGAAGATTTTCTACTTTTCTCGATGACGAGGTAACCCGCACCCACTACTGAGGGTGTGTATGTGTACGTAAATTCGGCTTTTTGACCTAGTCTGCAAAGAACCAACTAATTTAATTTAGTTTGTCAAGTTGATCAGCTCAAATCAAGAAGATCAATAGGCTGCTTCTAAGAGTCGAACTTATAATATTGTAGTTACAAAGTGAGTGCTAGGTAAATCCGACCTTTTGACCTGGCCAGCAAAGAACCAAGTAAAGTAGGTTGTCAAGCTGATCGACCCAAATCAAGAAAGCCAATAGGCAGCTCTTAGGAGTCGAACTTGTAACCTCATTTGCCCTTTTGACCTGGCCGGCAAAGAACCAATTAAACTAGGTTGTCAAGCTGACTGACCCAAATCAAGAAGGCCAATAGGCAGTTCCTAGGAGTCGAACTTGTAACCTTGTGGTTACTAAGTCAATAGCCTGGCCAGCTTGGCTAGGGTTGGCCCAAGATTTTCTACTTTGCTCCTTACTGCTGCTTATTGTTTCAGTTAGTATGTAATCTTCTTCACTGTGATATCACCTTCCTGGGCGAGTGGTTTTACCATTGGACATGGCCTATAATCAATGTCTTGATATTCTAGAAGTACAAATGATGAAGTTGATAGTTCTAGCATCCTAGGACTTTTCTAGTTTCTTGGTAAGCCATCTGTCATTGAAGAGTAAAGACCATTAAATTGGTCGACAAAAAGGGTGATCACTGAAGTTTTATTTGGTATCTCTTTCAATGACCAAGTATTGGAATTGCAGTTTTTGTTAAAGAATGTTGTTGGTGATGGTGATGGTGATGATGATGAATCTTGGCACACTGTTGATTATTCTGGCAAAAACGTGCACCTCATTACCACAGAAGAAAGTTGGGAGGAGAAGATGGAAGAAGCGAACAAAGATGACAAAATTGTAAGTCATGTAGCCATATCGCTTCTCTCACTCTCACTAATCTCCGTCTATTATATAGCAGCATTTCAGAATTCGTTAGTAGTTTGAATGGAAAATAGTAAAGTAAGAAGAGATGTTCATTGTTTGTGCAGAAAGACCAACTTTGGCATTTTTACGCGTATTTTCTGTAGTATATGTTATGTGTGCATCAGTGTATGTATATCTTTCACGGTGCCTGAGTTCTCTGACAACATGCACAATTGTTTGCAGGCCATTGTGAACTTCAGTGCCTCATGGTGTTCTCCGTGTAGAACAATTGCACCATTATTCTCTGAGCTATCTATGAAGCATCTTTCTTGGATGTTTTTGGTGGTCGATGTTGATGTGCTTTCGGTAAGTACACAAAAATTGAATAAAATGTTGAAGTCCAATGAACTGTTAGAGATAGAGTTCTTGATGTACACAAAACAGAATTTGTATTCTAAATGCAAGACTCGTATCTCTGAATTGAATTTGCATGAAGAGGAACCTCGTGCATTTTGTTCAAATGTGCACTAATCTGGCAACGCGGATTATCTTTTGTGTAATTTGGATCAGGACTTGAGTACAACCTGGGACATCAAAGCGACACCGACCTTCTTTTTCCTTAGGGGTGGAAAGCAATTCGAGAAAGTGATAGGGGCCAACAAAGAAGAGCTGCAGAAGAAGGTAACTGAGGTTGTCGACTCAGAGACATCGAGCTAGCCATAGCTGTTATGGTGATGCTTTCATGAGTGGCATCGAATGACCTTTTCTTTCGTTCGAGTCTGTGATTGTAAATGCAACTAACGTTTTTCCAGTCATGTATTTGAGATTGAGAAAGCTTGAAGGTAGCGTTTGCAATCCCCCCGCCCGCCTATTTGGCTCTTTGAGCTGTGAGTTAGGTGAGCTTCACAGCTTCATATTGAGCATTGTAATGGAAAAAGGAATGGTTTTCTTTTCCCCTGAAATGTGCTGAATATCATCAACTGCTCCTTGGTTTTGTTTCTTTGCAACATATCACCACATTGGTTGCCCCTTCCTAAACCAATTGGTTCTGCTCTTTTGAGGGATCATTGCAACTTATTAGCCAGCATCTTTGACACTGAATCATAATTATTAACATTTACATGTTGATATTATTTTTATTTTTAGTTTTTATCAATGTTGAAAAAATCGCTAGGCGCCTAGGGACCGCCTAGAGCGCCTAGGCGCGATTTTTGCAACACTAATTTTTATTGAGGAGCCATGAATTCATGGGGAAGAAGCTGGGGAAAAGAAGGGTATGTGAACCATGGCTGCCTCGATCTTCTTTGAAATTTTTTTAATTTAAAAAAATAATAATTTGATAATATGGCATCATATTGAAGGGTAACTTGGAAGTAACTTGTAACAAATGTTATTTGTACAATTTTTGAATTTTTAATGGTTTAATTGTACACTTTTTTTGTTTGATAATTCAATTGCACAATATGTATAAGTTCAAAGGCTTATTTAACATTTTTTCCTTAATATAATAAAATAAAGTAAGATTATCTAAATAAAATGTTACTCCGTATCTAATTAGTTCTATACGTAGTTACGTACCTCTTAAAAGGATTAAAAGGAGTATCCTAGTCTAATGAAATGTCTCTTCCTATCTATCAATCCCATCATCTTCGTCTAGTCGTTCCTCCATAGCCAAACAACGTAACTCTCAAATTACTTCAAAAATGGCGAACCCTTTTTCAGTTTACAGAACCAAACCCGAAAGACTTAATCTTTTTCGTCAGATCATTGATGCCGATTCCCCTCTCTCACCTACATCCGAAAACAGAGTTCTGGCAACCATTGAGCATAATCTCAAGTTAGTCGAAGATCTAACCACTAAGGAAACTCGTCAAATCCGTGCTTTGGCGGGTAAAGTGACAGCTGAACCTTGGCCCTTGATTCCTGAAGCCGGAGAGGAGAATATTCCAGTGAAGATTGAAAAGGTTTCTGGTTTTGAAACTGCTTCGGCTAAGCGAAAACTTGATGGCTCTGATGATGGGATTTTTGTGTCTGAAACCAAACGTCGCAAAAAGAGTGGCTTTTCTGTTCCTACCAGAATAACTCGGTCCCGGGCTCGGGCTTCTTTTGTTCCTTCATCTATTCCAGTTTCTGCCCAGAAAAGCTCTAAGGGCTCAAAATCTAAGTCCTTAAAGTCTATTCTTTTGAATGATGACCTTATGGAGCTATGGAAAGTGCATTCTAAAAGAGAGCTGTTGCTTGAAAAATCAATTGATGAGGATAATCTTCTTTCGAATTGCAATATTTTGTCCCTTTTGCGTGACCAATATCTTCTCCGGTCAGTTCAGAAAATGGGTCCCTATTCTCAGAAATTAACTGCTGAATTTTACACGAATTTGTCGGGCGAATCTTCTACCAGGGATTCTTCTCATTATCATCAAGTCTTTATTCGTCATAAGTGGTATGATTTTGGCCCCGAAGAAATCAATGCATATTTGGGCCGGTCCAATATTGTTGATGATATTGATGATGCCTCTGATCCGGATCTCAATCTGCTTGCTACTACATTAACTCACAATAACATTGTTAAATGGCCAAAAGGAGGTTTTCAGTCTCAGAAGTTGACTACAGTATACTCTGTTTTGCTCCGTATTGCTGCCACGAATTGGCTTCCGGGTGTCAATAAAAGTATAGTTTCGGACAAAATGGCCCTACTTCTTTACAAGGTTCGAAATCGAATTGATGTTGACTTAGGATCGATTATCTTCTCTCATATTATGTCCTTTACAAAGAAGAAGGAGGCTAAGGTGCATCTTCCTTTTCCAAGCCTCATTTTTGGTGTGTTGACGAAACAAGGCTTTGAGCCGAATGATTCTGAGAAGGTTCTTGAAAATAAGGGTGTCTATCAGTTTGATCCTAGATTGTCTCACTATTTTCATTACGATGATAGAGCTGAACTTCTCCTCACCTCGGCTGAAACGGTGCCGTCTGCCACAACTCCTCCTGTATCTCCTGCTGCCTCTGATTCCACTGCCCGAGCTCATGCCGAGCCTTCATCTCTCATTGCTCACAGGCAGTTTGCTGATTTTGTTCAATCCTCGTTAGATCAAATGCACAAATCTATTGCGGCTCAACAAGAATCAGCTGCGGGTCTTCAGAAGATTCTTCTTCAACATCGTCGTGAAATAGCCCGCTTGGAGAAGTTGCACGCTGACTCAGATACTGCTGATTTTGATCCTGATCCAGCTGATGCTACCGAAGATTCTGCTGAAGACTCCGTTGCCTCTGATGATGCTACCAGCTCTTCTGGCACTCAGTCAACCTACTGATGTTCACGGTTGTTAATTTTTTGGCAAAAAGGGGAAGAGTAAATTAAGGGGGAGCTTCTGTTTTTGGTGGTTATAATCTCTGTTTTTTGGTGATTTCTGTTTCCCCCTGTTCTTTTGACTGTTTTTTGATATGATTTCTGTTTTCCCCTGTTCTTTTGATTATTAGTCTGGATATTATCTTGGTACGGTCTATTGGATATTCTCGCATACGTTTGGATGGTTTTTCCATTCATGTCTTTGAGATCAAGAAAGAATATTTTAAAGCCTTTGAAGTTAACCTAAACCATAGAACATTAGCACCTTTTAAACAGTCAAAAATCAACAACCAGAAAGATTCAGATTAAGATTATAAAATAAAATAAATCTCACCCTTAAATGATAGCAACAACTATCTTTAAACTAAACAATGACAAGTTATTTGGACTGCCTTCCATGTTTTTTGAAGGTAAATGCATAAACAGAATTCTAAGTAGTACATTCATATCACCAACAATGCCCTATACAAACAGCTAATCATTTTACAAGAAGCTTAAGATCAAAATATCAAAAGGACGAGCTCTTCATCAAATCATCAGTAATGGCTATATACTTTAGACCTCATTACTGCGGAGAAAATATCGAGATATCAAAAAGCAAAATATGAGTAAAAGAACGAGACAGTACATGTTGGATTCATGACTCACATCGGCAACTGGTGGCGGGGAAAAGCTGTTTCAGGACTCAACGACCCTTTGGATTCATGATCTGAGAGAAGACAGCGCTAGGTGTCAACCCATCGGAGTCTTGACTAGCAAGACTCCGACCACCAATACTCATTGTCATCCCGCTGCTTCTTGAATCAGTTGTGCTTACATCGAAGCCTGGGGATGCATTTGGATCCCTCTTTGCTTCATATGTGACATTGAAGCTGTCCTCAACGTCCATTCCACCGAGACCATTGCCACTCTCCTCTGAACCCTCTTGAAGTTGTAGAGCGAATTCAAGGTTCCAAAGAACATCCCCCATTGATGGCCTATCTGGTCCAACATCTGACAGACACTTCACTGCTGTCTCAGCAACTTTTTTGAAGCATTCTGGAGCAATCTTGCCCTTCAAATAAGGATCCATAATCTGATCAAGAATGCCCTTCTTATGGCAATGTAAGGCCCATTCTGCTAAGCTCACTTGTTCCTTGGGGAGTGTGGGGATCAAAACTGGACGGGCACACAAAATCTCAAAAAGTACGACTCCAAATGAGTAGACATCGGATTTCTCTGTGAGCTGCTGCCTTCTGAAGTACTCGGGATCCAGGTACCCAAAACTACCTTTGACAACAGTGCTTACATGGGTGTGATCCAAAGCGGGACCTGTTTTTGACAAACCAAAATCCGAAACCTTTGCCACCCACTTCTCATCCAAGAGTATGTTAGTTGTTTTAACATCACGGTGGATAATGGTATGCTTGGCACCCGTGTGAAGATAGTGCAAACCACGGGCAGCACCAATGCAAATCTCAAGCCTTTGCTTCCATGGCAACGGGGGCTTTTGGGTCTTGTACAAGTGCTCCCGAAGAGTCCCATGAGCCATGTAGTCATAGACAAGAATCATTTCACAATTCTCTTCACAATACCCTATCAAAGAGACAAGGTGACGGTGGCGAAGTTTAGAAAGCATTTCGATTTCTGTTTGGAATTCATGAACACCTTGTTCAGAGAGTGGGTTTCCACGCTTAATAGCAACTTTCGTACCACTGTCAATCTCTCCCCGGTATACTTTGCCAAAACCTCCTACTCCTAGGACGAGAGTCTCGTCAAAATTTTTGGTGGCAGCTTTGATCTCAGCAAAAGAGAAGTGGCGACAGAGGTTAGAAGGAAGAGAGGAAGCATAACTTCCAGTAGTGTGTGTCTTTTCAGTACCAGACGAATGAGAATCCCCATATAAAGAAAGAGGAAGCCAACCCGATGGTCTGTCATTTGGACTTGAGTCCGTTTTTTGTCTAGGACGACGAGAGGCAAAATAAACGGCTAATCCAATAAGAAGGATGGCACCAATTCCACCTCCAACTCCTCCAGCAATAGCTGCTGTATGATTCTTTGACCGACCTGATAGTGAAGATGGATTAAATGGGTCAATCTTTCTTTGTTTTGGGCCTGGGATTGGATTGGGACCTGCAAGATTTCCATCACTAGTGTTTACTTTAAATATTTCCAGGCCATTCAATATTGCATTCAAATATTCGGACCCTTCTTTTGGATGTAGTGCAAGCCAAAGATCCACCTGTGGAGCCCCAACAGGAAAAAATACCAAATAGTCATGATGTGTGGCAACTCCATTTTTACCTGCCCAAGCAATTACATCAGCATCTGGCTCAGTAGTTTGGTTGTTCAGGTAGACATGAAATGCCCTCTGGTTGATTTTAGTAATAATGTTGGTGACCTCGCAGAAATGGAGCCTGACAAGGTAGTAGAACCCCGAGTCAACGGGAAAGAACCATGTTAAGTTGTAATTCACATTAACACTTTTATTTGGACCCATTGATCTGAGAGTTCGATAGACATCCACAGGGGCAATGGAAGCGGGTGTTCCTCGAGGATAACTGATTGTCAAATTGTAATCATCTGCAGTCTCGGTGGCCCCATCGCCTCCAAATATATATTTTGAATCTTCATCCCATGACCTAAACATGCCAGTATCACTCGATGGCGATATAACATTGCCACCAACGTTCAACCGGTAAACACCCTCAAGTGCAGTGGTATTGCCAATGAAGAGCGGAGAAGAAGATTGACCAACAATAAGAGCATTTCCATCCTCAGTATTATATATATCAGGATGCCCAACGACCTCAATCCCATTCACAAACGCAAAAGAGTTGGAATAGTTCCCAGAAGGCGTGAAAGTCACATTCAACACTCCAGACGGAACATTGATGGAGAACTCCTTTAATACGTAATCAAAGAACAGAGCTTCAGTGGTTTGTGCTGCACTGAAGTTCCTCAGAAGGGTATACTGACCAACCCTAACTGAGAAGATCCCATTGTAGGGATTGAGCTTATTGTAAACTGCAGGATAGAAATAGAGGCGAAGAAACTTCCTTCCAGATGATACTGGGAAACTATAGGTGAACTCGGATTGGAAAACCCGGGCATCCATGCAAGGGACTTGAGGAACAGAGGGCTTTTGGGAATCAGCAGGGGATGGAAATGACTTTCCACTGCTCATTAGGAATTTAGACCCAATATCTGTACTCCATTCTCGGCCATATTCATCAGTGCTCCGATTAGGACCTCCACAACTTAACAGAACCTCAATCTGCCCAGACACTTGAACCAGGGCAAGTAACAGACAGCTCAAGATCAAAAGAACAAACAGTTTATAGGCAGCCATTTACCACGCAGATTATCGCGGAAAACACGAAATTTCTGAAAAAAGACAACAAAAGTTGATCAAGAATTTATGTTTTAAGTTTTAACCCTCCACGATCGTACAAGCAAAATTCATCAAAAACATCAAATACAGTCACCATACATACATTGGAATATACACCATACCATACACCAAATTATACAAGCAAGTAAAAGATGAAATTTTCTTTTACAATTTACTAAAAAAACAACTCGGATATTACAAGGGAAATAAAAGACCAGATTTTTTTATTTCAAAAACGATCTTTGAACTCAAAAGAAACATGCCCAGAAAGCAGAATGAGCTAACGCTGAGATATATATGTTCAGAGAAACAGAAGAAAAGGAGCAGAATACCTGAGGGAAGAGCAAGGATAGAAGTAGAGATCAAAATCCCAATGAAAAGGCAAACTTCAAGCCACGATAGGGCTCATCCCTTAAACTCAATGCCGTATTACAATCAGACAAGAGCTGGAAATGGGGAGACAGAGTCAGATTAGCTTTACAGATAGAGCAGAGAGTTGAAAATGGCAAAGGAAAGAGAGAACGGAACTTCAAGAAAATGTTTATAGTCGCTTTTGTATTACGTGAATTTAGGCGTCACATAAGATTACAAAATTAGTTGGACCAACGAAAAGCTACTCCTTAAATTAAAAAATAAAAACGCGTTTACCTCACAAATTTTTTTATTTTTTTATTTTTAGTTTTAGATGATCTTTGCATTGATTTAATTTTGATATTAGATGTAATCTCAACTAAAAATATAAATAATACATGAATTACACATTTATATTTTATAAAAATATATATTAAAGCAATCTCATATTGTTCGACTGTTTGGATTAAAAAAAAACAAAACAAAAGAAAAGATAGATAATCGTCAATTGGCGATCACCCTCAACATGTCCGGTTGACACTTGAACTCCATTGGGTGTTGTTGGTTCACATTAGGTGCATCAATATTTTTTATGGGTCCACTCAAAAAAAAAAAAAAAAAAACACTATAATAATTTTTTCTTCTCTCTCAAACCTCTCTCTCTTTCGTATAAGCAAAAAAAAAAAAAAAAAATGCACAACCTCCGAAAAAATTGTTGTTGGCATCCTTTTTATGTTAATCAAGTTTAATACATATTAACCTGCACGAGCTTAACTTACTGGTTTAGTATGCAGCATTTAGGAGAAGAGACTAATGTTTAAATTTTGACAATGACAATGCAATGATTATGTTCAAAGTGAACAGATCCCTTATGTGCACCAACATTTAATCTTGCCTACTGAGTCATCAAGCCAAAATAAGAATTTAATCTTTTTTCAATATTTATATCAAAAGATAAAAGATCACGCGTTTGATTATTGATTAAACCTGTTGCACAAAGAAAACTTCCAAAAGACCTTATTATTTAATCTTTTAACTTATTTATAAGTGGATCAAAATTTAATCCGTCTACATTAATCTATAATATAAAATGGGCGTGTTAAGGTTTAAAATGCCAACATGTCACATCTACACCTCCCTAGAAGTGGTCAATTTTTTTGATGGTTTCCATACCCATTAAAATATTTTGATAATATATATGGTGTAAAATTTAAACCTAAAATATTGTATTTGTTCTAATA